AAAACTCATTTTAATTATTTGTTTCTCATTATTTGTTTCTTTACAAAACTTATCGTTTTAGCTTGAAATTGATCCTATAAAAATAAAGTGTAATATTTGGTCTCTGTGGATTCGATCCTTAAGTGTTACATCGACATACCATTCGATTGTGGTAGTGTGCACATTAGGTTAATTGGTGTGCGTTCGCACGCGATATCAACAACTTTTAGATTTCAGACTATATTATACATGATTAGAACATAGTATAGAATACTTGAGAAGGAGGGAGGGAGGAAGGGAGGAAGAGAAGGAGTGAGGAAGGATGGGGGAGGGAGAGAGAGGGGGTGAGTGGGAGGAAAGAGAGAAAGGAATACTTGATTAGAACATAGTATGGAATACTTGAGAATGAGGGATGGAGGGAGGGAGGGAGGGAGGGAGGAAAGAAGAGGGAGGAGGGGGGAAGGGAGGAAAAAAGGGTGAGTGGGAGGGAAGAGAGGAATAAAAATTGTAAAAATAATATACAACTTTTACTATTACCGTGAATCTACACTCTATTCTATTTGTTGCAACATTATAGAATTGAACTATTGACAAATAACATTTTTCTTCTCCAGTGCCAATCCAACATTTGATTTTGGGATGGTGATGAGTGACAATAATTATAAAGGAAAAGATAGTGGAGTTAGTGGAATAGTGAAGGAGAATGAGCAGGAGGTAAAAAACATACAAAACTAATACAATTTAGAATAATATATATTGTATTATTTACTGATTCTATTCTATTAAATTGATTCATATAGTATAGTCTTAACAATTAGAAGCCGAAACAATTATGCTACGGAACCCAATTTAATTGTGCTCACCATATTGTATTCCTATACTATTAACATGTTAATAATACTGAATACCATTCAACAAGATTGTCTACAACAAAAGAAAATATATAGCCTACTTAACATGTATTACACAGTACAATAATACAAAGCAGTAGCATATACATTATAGGAGATGTATTTGAACAGCCAAACTTACAAAACATGTATTACACAATACAATAATACAATACAGACACATAGAGTGCCATGTTTAAGTTCCGTTGAAAGGAAATAGTACACCATGTACTCAAGAAATTGGCAATCCAGTACGCTATACTATGCAACGCAGTACATAGTATAGAGTTTAGGAAAAGGGACAAAAATTGACGATTCACATCTACGCGCATGTTGAGGGTAGAATGGAGAATAAATGGCATATTATATATCATAGCATAGCCATTAGGTTACTATGGTTATTTGCTTTTTTTTTTCTGAGAAATGGTTATTGGCCCATATTACTCAAAAAAAATCGTACTTCAACTAAAAATAAAATCAGAAGAAAATTCATGAAGAAAATTGAATCGATATATAAACCAAGAAAAACTATTCTTCTTGTTTTACGTAAATATATTTGGAAACATATGATTTTAAAACTTTTTATAAATTAACAACTCAATTAATTAATGAAAACCTAGTCGCAACAGTAATCATTTATAAAGTTGTTACTGTATAATAAGTTGATATGGATATAACAATTTTTTTTTTAAATTAATACCCCTATTGTTTTTAGCTTTTGCGTTGGCACTCTCCCAAATTTATCATGATGATTTTGCAAAATTAGTTATAAATTTTGATGGTTTATATCTATATATATAAAGGAGCAGCTTCTCTTCACCTAGGCTTCCACGTCATCATTCTCCTAATGTTTTCTTAGCTTGACACGTCATACTCTTCACTTACGGTTTTAACTTCCGCGTTTGCGCTTTGTTTCCGGGTTTGATACCGTAAAAAGTGGCTGCGAGTATGTTCGGCCCCAGTAGGCCCAGTAAATGTGTTTTCANTATCTATATATATAAAGGAGCAGCTTCTCTTCACCTAGGCTTCCACGTCATCATTCTCCTAATGTTTTCTTAGCTTGACACGTCATACTCTTCACTTACGGTTTTAACTTCCGCGTTTGCGCTTTGTTTCCGGGTTTGATACCGTAAAAAGTGGCTGCGAGTATGTTCGGCCCCAGTAGGCCCAGTAAATGTGTTTTCATGAAGCACATTACGATTGGACTTATGTTTCTTTTCCCTTGGGTTTTCAATTATTTTGGCTCGATACCAACCTTCTTCTTCTTTGACGCCTCATGCCCATTACTTCTCATTTCACTAGAACCTTCCATCTCTTCGGTTTTGGACTCTATAAATAGGCGTTTATGGCTTCATCGTTATCACTCAACATAGCGGGAGAACAATGGCTGCCTCCCAGATCTCCCTTTCCGACGTTGTGCTCGGATCGTTGTTACACGCCTGCTCTGGTTTTGGGAAGCTAGGAATGCTAAGGAAGGCGGTGAACTAATGGGTGTCGATATGCTTCTATTGGATGATCATGCGAGTCTTCAGGAGAAAAGGGTGAGAAGAGGATCACCAATATAGTCTACGAAAAGATATTCAACAACCTTGGTCAAAACTAGGTAATTCAAATTTGCTACTATAAAACAAAAACAAAAAACTGCAACTAGGGAACAAAAAAACAAATAATTCAGACATCGTTAACATATTTTGCAGGAAAAAGCTTGGAAGATGACTGTCATTCTTCCGAAGGACACAGTTTTCTAGAAAAACTATTTTACATATGTAGAGTTTACAAACGATTTTCAGTCTTGCTACTTTACTTTCAATATGAAAAACTTCATGCTCTAGACTTTGTGGAAGGGATGAGTTTACAAATTTTACATATCATTCTACTACTTTACTTTCAGTCTTGACAAAACATAAAAACAACCAAAAAATAGCTTTCATGAAAAAATAAAACATAACAAACTGCTCCATTACAGTGATGGCCTTCCTTTCCTAATTTCTAAATGAATCCCCGACCCAATCTCCAGTGTCGTTCAACCACAATGACAACAGAACGGAGACAAACCCCCATGAAAATAAATCTATCTATCAATCAATCATCATCAACAGAAACAATAATCAATTGGTGAAGAGAAAGAAGGTAATTACCTGAAGATTAACAGAGCAGCCGAATCAAATTGAGAGATGAAAGTAAAGACAGAAGGAGAACAAAACGATGACGTGGCTGAATCATCAAGCATCTTCGCGATTCTGGCTCCATGATCCATAACCGAAGAGGCTTCCCCACAAACGCTAACAAACTTCTTATACGTCATCCAGCTTTTCCACGTCTCTCTCAGCTTCGTCTTCACGATCTCGATCTGCGCAGCTCTGAGAAGCTTCTTCGTATCCCCCACCATCAAACTCACAGGCTCCGTCATCTCTGTCGGCGGAACAAGGCCGTCTAATCGGATCATGTCCTCGCTGTCGTCCATTTCGCGGAGCTTCTCGATCAGACTCTCCCTGATCGGCATATGCATGATCTCCAACCGAATCATGGCAAAGAGCTTAAGAATTAATAATCACCCATCCGAATATGAACGATTTTTCCTACTTATCTAGAGAGAAAGAATAAACAAAAGAAAATAAAAATAAAAATATTTTTAAAATAAAAATATGAACAGAGGGAACGGAACAACCAACTTCATCCCAGCATTTTCACGGACTCCTCTTCAGTCATCGCTAAAATAGAACTTCTCATCAGAAACACAGACTATCATCTCTCATGGATTCCAACCCAGATTTCTCAAGCAGAGTCATGCAACTTTGGTTCTCTTAATCTCTCCCGCATTGACGTTAACCAGCCGTAATCACTTACGCTCTAAGTGGGCTCCCATATGATCCTTCTTCTCCACTATGGGCTTCATTTTGATGGGCTTCAATAAGAGCTTAATCCAGAAACATTCACTTAGGTTCTAAACACGGGATTATATTATAGTTTTGTAAAACAATTCTTGCCAATTTTTAATTTAAATGCACCAAATTTAAGCAAAAAAAAAATGTGGGTCAAAAGTGACTTTTGTTATTTGCGTTTCTTTCTAAAGTCTCACTGTATATTAAACCAAAATTCATTAGTAAAAAACTTATACCCAAAATTCATACTCATAAAATTGTAATATTATTCAAATACTTACGCAAAAATATACACAAATATAAAAGAAAAATCCACTCTACAAAAAAAAGTGATGACCAGTTCCAATAAACAGATGAACCTATTACCTCATAATAGGTAAAATTCTACATGTTTACACGTAACACATATTAAATTCGGTGTAATACATGCATAATTGTATTTTTTGTATTATAATTGTAAGTGTTACCGCTAATAAGAATAACAATCTACATATTGAAAATATAGATTATTTCAAGTTAAAGTAATCACTTTGAAATATTCAATACGATTGATAATATATTATGTAACTTTTTCGATTACTAACCCGCCCGTAGGGNCGTAACACATATTAAATTCGGTGTAATACATGCATAATTGTATTTTTTGTATTATAATTGTAAGTGTTACCGCTAATAAGAATAACAATCTACATATTGAAAATATAGATTATTTCAAGTTAAAGTAATCACTTTGAAATATTCAATACGATTGATAATATATTATGTAACTTTTTCGATTACTAACCCGCCCGTAGGGCGGGCCAAACCCTAGTTTCTATATATATAAGAAAAGAATGTGGTTTACGACACTCAACGTGTTTGTACCAAAGCGGCATAAACAGGTTCATAGCTGTGTCAGCTACTGTTTCATATTACCACTGAAGTATACCACAACAGCGTTGTTGATCCCATCCAAACTAATTCTCGGATTGTAACATAGCACAAGATATGCCACGATTTTTCCAACGGCTTTGTGGTCAAGTAAGACGTGATCTAACCCGGTGGTGACAGTTTCAGTTTCATAAAACACGCAACAAAACCAATAACATACAAAGAAAAAGAGTCTCATGGACTGCAATTTTTAACTGTACTGGTATTCTTCTGTGCACTTCTCTATTCTCCAAGTATCAGTATCGGCGAAGTTCTTTCCATCAGCCTATGTGCATGCTGTCTGATTTAACTTCTCTTGATCAAAGGTTGCGAGAAGTTCATGTACTGAGTGTAGAAGCCGGAAAACCGGATCGACATAGACGATATAAAAAAGACGGAGTTAAGGAAAGAAACGATTATATGAGACACGGAGGCGAGATAAATCTCTTTCCTTAACTCTTAATATTCGCTCCGTAGTGAGACGAAACTGTACGAATATTGAGTCCTAGGATACAACCATGGCAGACGAATCACGCTTCACTCGTGAAACGACCTAACGAACTAAATTCTATGAACACTCTTTGAAAACTTACGCTGAGAGATTGCTGGATTTTTTTTTCTGTGTTAAAAAACGATTAAGGAATGAAGAAGAGAAGCGAGTTTATTTAAAGAGAAAGACGAGAGCCACTTCCCGCAACAACTGCTGCACGTGGGCAAGAATCTCGCGGAGATCGAGGGAAGTTGAGTAGCGAAATCTTTTTTCCGCAAGACTCTCTCTTTTCTCGTTTAAATATCTGAGAGGATAAACAGCGTGACGTTTTTTTATTTGTTAGACAAACTGGCAAGATATATTCGCGCTTCTACATGAGATCCATTATAATCGTTCAGCTTCAACTTAACCTGTATCGCCCCAAGATTATTCATGACGTGGAAGAGATGTTTCCATGGTTTGCATTCTTCATAGAAGTTTTCACCACCACTGACGCAGTAATCACATTTTCAGGAAAGATGGCGTAGTTGTAAGGATTCCGATCCTCAAGCTCCAGCGGTCACCTCATCAGAATCCAATGCAACCCCTTTGGTCGCATTCGCCACAATTACTCGAGAACGTGCCTTGCTTCTCATCAATTGGTTAAATGTTTGCTAACTATGTAAGAACGTGTCTTCAGCTTCTGTATCTTTGGTTTATTATCAAACGATGTTTGGCTTTAGTAATCACTTGCCGAGTTATTTTGCTATGTTCTATGATACCACAAAGCATAAGCATGGCCCACTCTAGATCCTTAAGACCGAGAGACTTGTTCGAGTAACCCTTCTATGTTGTTGATATCACTAATACTGCCCCAAAGTCCTCTCTTACTAAATCTGTTCAAATTCCAAAAACGTTAGATTTGTGTCTTAGAGACAAACGGAATCACAAAAATAATCTCAATATCAAAAACAGTTATAATATGAATCACTGCAACAGCAACACAACAACTTAAATATATATATTTTCATTTGTAAGTGAGTCCAAGCAAAGTTCACTATGATGTTATAAGTCAAGCCACTGAAAAACTCACTGAAATTGACTTTAAGTAGCAGGATCAGGTCATGAGTTTAGTGGGCTGCATAGAATTTCTTACCGTGCTTTATCTTGCTCGAATGTCAAATAGATCTCTTTTCGATGGCTTCATATGAAGATGTCATAATTTTACTTTTTAAACTTTCCAGATTGTGTCCAAACAGTTCAGCTTCCTTTTGTAAACTCCGTTACTTCTGAGAAAATACAAACGGAATCACAAAAATAATCTCAATATCAAAAACAGTTATAATAGGAATCACTGCAACAGCAACAGCAACATAACAACTTAAATATATATATTTTCATTTGTAAGTGAGTCCAAGCAGAGTTCACTATAATGTTATAAGTCAAGACACTGAAAAACTCACTGAAATTGACTTTAAGTAGCAGGATCAGGTCATGATTATAGTGGGCTGCATAGAATTTCTTACCGTGCTTTCTCTTGCTCGAAGGTCAAATAGATCTGTTTTCGATGGCTTCATATGAACATGTCATAATTTACTTTTTAAACTCTCCAGATTGTGTCCAAACAGTTCAGCTTCCTTTTGTAAACTCCATTACTTCTAGGAAAAGACAAACGGAATCACAAAAATATTCCAATATCAAAAACAGTTATAATAGGAATCACTGCAACAGCAACACAACAACTTAAATATATATATTTTCATTTGTAAGTGAGTCCAAGCAAAGTTCACTATAATGTTATAAGTCAAGACACTGAAAAACTCACTGAAATTGACTTTAAGTAGCAGGATCAGATCATGATTTTAGTGGGCTGCATAGACTTTCTTACCGTGCTTTCTCTTGCTCGAAGGTCAAATAGATCTGTTTTCGATGGCTTCATATGAACATGTCATAATTTTACTTTTTAAACTTTCCAGATTGTATCCAGACAGTTCAGCTTCCTTTTGTAAACTCCATTACTTCTGAGAAAATTCATATCCATCAAAGTGAGCACATAAGTAGCTTCAATTAGTCATCAAATTCAGAGTTTTTTTGTTACCTTGTAAAGTTGAAGCAGCAATTTGGTAATGGAATCTTGTCATTCAAAATGGCAGTGATGATGGAGCCCGTTTGGCCTCTCACACAGACTGAGAAAAACATCATGCACGAACACACGTGGTGTAATTGTGACGGTGGATTTCGAGAAAGACTTTGGTGCGTTAGTGTTTATGGTGAGGTATGAGGAAAATCCTGGTTGTGGAAGCCTCAGCTGGTTTACGTAGGAGAGAAGGGAAGTTCAAAAAGTTCTTTCAACGAAAAGATCAGTGTTTTCTGATCTCTCTCCAAAGGAAAGGTGTCTTGAGCGAGCTTTTGGTAAACAGCCGTAGACCTTCCACTTGGCCTTTAGCAGTGTTAACCAACCATGGATCTGTTCATAATGCAAGAAAGGTTCTATTAACTGAAATACAGATTTATTGATCTCTTTGTGACCATTAGCTAAATGACCTAAACCTGGAGACCTCGTCATCTATTCCAGCGAAACCGATTTGACGTGGCAAAAATCAAGACTCTTATGGGCCGATTATTTTCGCCTACATGGCATAGCTCTAAGAGCTTTATTAGCGCCTTTTAATAGTGTAATCCACATAGATGGAGCTGGACAGAAACCCTAGACACATACGATGAGTAACATGTCGACAAACTGAAAGCTCTGTATAAAAGGAGACGAATGGAGTAAAGAACATAATTGATTAATCAAAATGGGTCGCGGTAACTGCGAATTACAGAGAACTGAAATGGTGATGATGAAGTGGAATAGTCGGAGACGATCAACTATCAACTCTTCAGAAGGAAATAGGTACGGCAGTGATGGGCTTAATATGGGCCATTTAGAAATGTACTGATAGCTCACAAAATTGGCCCAGATTTAATCTGTGTACAGTGAAACCGATTTGACGTGGCAAAAATCAAGACTCTTATTGGCCGATTATTTTCGCCTACGTGGCATAGCTCTAAGGGCTTTAATAGCGCCTTTTAATAGTGTAAGATACTTTATCTTCACTATTAAAACTGAAGTTTTTTTAAAAATGCCTTTCTGTTTAGAAAGTAATTACAATCTCATGCCACTGGAATATTTTAAAGCTATGGTTTTTATTAAATCTTTTATTTTCCAAACAAAAAAATTGACAAAATCTTTTAATCAAATAAAATATGCCACAATATCTTTCTATTCCAACAAAAAAAATATTGTCTTATTTTTAACTTCCTTTCAACTAAATCATAAAAGTATTAATAAAAAATATCTTATATTATTTGTATTAGCGATATCAATCGCAACCATATGTGTGAGGTTCCGAAGAAGGTGAATATCAAATTTAGGCGTTTTGCACAAAGTTATTTGTGATAATGGTGGAAATTAGACAGTGGCAGAGATTGTGTTATCAGCGAATTTA